GATGTGACTTCTGCCCAACTGATGTGACTTAAACCCTTCGCTCGTAGCCATCACGATGCCATGACAGGTTTGTTCACATTGGAGACCTGGCGAGAATCCGCAGAGCCTTGTCCTGCAACTTACGTGAGGAATTGGCTAAGATCTCCTAGCAGATGATTGTCCTATTGAATGAGCGGGTTTCCATGTCTTGTGATTGTTTCAAATAGAATGAAGTAGACTGTATATACATAATTATATATAATTATATATATATATATATATATACATAATTATATATAATTATATACATATATGTAAAATTATATAATATAATTAAATAAATATAATTATATAATATAGATTGATACGAGCCTGAACAACTTTGAGCACTGCATGTGGTGACTTCGACTTCCGTGATATGTGAGGTAAACGTGCTGTAACTTTGTTGTGGTTTTCATAGGCCAGTCTCCACTGAGAAAGGAAGACATCTACAAGTTTCTAAAGCAAAAAATGCGTAAGTAAGAAGACGTTCTACTACTTGGAATCTCAAATATCTCAATTCCGATGTCCTACAGTTTCGCAACCATGTGGGCTACAGGAAAAAATGTTGTTTTCTCCTTTCTGGAGAGACTAATACCGTGGACGATTTCTGAGAGCACTACGTGCATCACTCTAATAAACCATATTACCAGATTCTTTCTGAAAAGAAACAAGGGATAAGAACGGATTTCCATATATATATATATACATACACACATTATACATAATATATATATATACATATATATATATACATATATATATTATAATATACATACATATATACATATATTATAGCTTAGTTGTCACTAGTTGACCAAAGGGTACATCTCCAATTACATCAGATTTTGTACAGGGTACCTGCCATCGGTCTCTGAGGTTGGATGATGTTGATTTGGCCTCCACAGCTTTGAAGCGCGACACTGATCCGGGTGGATCTGGATTTGTGGGACATTGCCACTAGCGGGTGGGAAGATTAGTTTCCACCGAAAATGGATGATAATGTTTTTTTTTTCAGTGTCTATGCCAATTTGGATTATGGTATAAAGTGGATAAGAACGAAAAATGGAAATCTAAATCCAATCAATTTGGGGTTGAACATCTACCAAAGGTGACAAATGACTCCAACTAGGATGAAACCTTAAGTTGGGAACGTGTGGGAACGTGTTTGATTCTCCCCATTTGGACTTAACGCACCTTCTCACTATCTCTTCACTTTAATGGTGCTCATTTTCTGGAAATTAAGGACTCTCCAACTTCATGGCCCTTTCTGTAGTTGAAAGGACTGGCTATACACAGTTGGTGCCCCCTTCAGTTTTGTTTGTTGGTGTATAGACTGCATCTAATTATGGTTATCATTACTGGTTGGTGGTTTGGAACATTTTTTATTTTCCATAATCTATGGGATAATCCTTCCCATTGACTTTCATGGAGGTTGAAACCACCAACCAGGCATAGGTTACTGGTTGGTTTGGAACAATTTTTATTTTCCCCATAGCTGGGATGATGATCCAGTCTGACTTTCATATTTTTCAGAGGGGTTGAAACCACCAATTAGATTAGCATAAACCCAACGGTCGCGTCGCCACGGCAGGGCATTGGAAAGCTCCGATGGTCTTGTGGCAGTCCAAGGGCTTCGGATCAGTTGCAGCTTGTGCCTTGGATTCCTTGGATGCCCAAATGGGGATGGATAAAAACCCATTCAAAACCTATGAATTAATCATGGGGATTAATATTAGGTAATGGGGATTAATACCTAATGAATGGATCGATTTTTAATACCTAATTAATGGGGATTAATTATTAGGTAATTAGGTATTAAAAATCCATCCATTAACACCATGAAGCGCCTATTAACCAGCTATGAAAAAACTACATATGCTTAATTCTATGTTCATATACGTTCCTTAACATTAACCAGCTATTCTAGGAAACTATATTAATATTAATATATTACGTACCATATTCAGATATATTTTGGGGAATACACATCCATTACAGTAAACCAGCTATTCTAGGCTACCCAGGGGTGCCAGGGTTTTGACTCATAGCCAGATGGTGTTCAATCTCACCTAATAATTGAAGAAACCCTAAATAGTCCTAAAGTTCTCAGTATATGTAAATCCCCAACTAAAACATTGTTAGTTTGGTGGTGTCGAATATTAGGGGGATGGGATTCCACAACCTAAAAAGCCATGGCCTATTCGGCTCTGCCGGACCTATTTCAAAGAGGGTACCTGGCAAAAGGAGCCGTGGCCAACCAGAATTCAGTGGTCTTTGTGTCTTCTGCATGTTCCGGTAGATATACTACGATGTACTGGTACTTATTACCCCAATATATGTATGTATATATATATATATATATATTTACACATCCAATTGCATGTATTTGTTGGTTTGGCTGTGATGGGTTTTATATGTCTCAATTATTCTGGGTGTTATGGGTTTTGTAATCAATTATCCAAAATCATTTGGTGGTAGCCCCAGATTTGTCATGTGGGTATGAGTCAAAGATGGGAGCCCAAAGAAACCCAAAATGGTAGTGTTTAGTACTAAGCCATCCATTCAGTTCCGTGGGGCCCATCATTTTAACTCATACCCAGATACATCCATGATGTTGTTTATTTAATCTATCATACTACAGTGATTACTAGCAGTTAAATACTATATCCCATTGCTGTATCCCATATTATCCCATCACACAGGCGAAAAAAAATACATCGATATATACAGTATCCATAGTTGAGGTAGCTGATAAATTTTCTTTCGTCACTGTTGGTCGCAAATTGCCAACATGGGCCCACTGAATCCTGGTGAATCCCGATGTCCCAGGTTGTGCGCCCAAGTCTCAGTGTCGCTAGTCCGCACCAGAGCATCCCTGTGCCACGTTGTGATATATCTGGACATATGCTGAACATTTAGGGTACCTCATTTGGTTATCCATAGAGTACGGTACTGAACATATGGATCATTGGGGTTATCTGAAAATATAGGCTACTCGATGTTTGCACAGCTACTGCAGGGCTTGTCCCATTTTTGGACAGACCCAGATCTTAAAAAGTGGAGATCTTCAACAAAAATTTGTTGCCACGAGTTTAGTCTATGACAGATAGGGGCCGCTGGCTACCCCATTCATCGCTTTCAATGTCTACTAGTATTCTTTAAATGGGTACATCATCATACACCAGCGATTTTCTTTACATCAGGTTGTTGCAACTTAAAATGGTAATTCTTCTCACCCAACTTTCTAAACAGGATGCCAGTCCAACTTCCAACTTCCACCATCCTCCAGTCACCGTGACCAGGTCACAACTTTGGAGCTCTGGGGCTGTAGAGTTGGCTGCTCAGCCCCTATGTCATGGAGCAACATGATTTTAAATTGGTAGGTGATACTAGTTACTATTAATGATGTAGCCAGGTATTATGCGTAGGCTTGACATGGCTAAAAAGCAACAAGGTACTACTTGATATGCTTTGATATTGTTAGACCCACGCAAAATGGATCAATAGTCGACTTCTTTGCTCCCCAGAATGGACGGTTTGATGCTTTGGTGGGTCAATTGAGCCCCCACTTGGGTGACAGAGCCATAGCATGCCATCGCATGCCATGGCCAGTCAATTACAAGGTGGTGCCCCCAGTAATAAGTTGCTTCATACCCTAATTACAATATTATAAATATATATATATAGAGTTATATCTACCATAAACTCTAGTTATTTAATTTATAAACAAAAGTTATAAATCAAGCTAACTATGAGGCACCACCTTGAGATGCAACATCAACCGGCTCCAAGTGTGGTCTCTCCTGGGTGTTAATTTTTGAGCCATTCCCAACTGTTGCAAAGTTTCCTGCAAGAACTCCTCTCAGTCGCTACCTCTTTGCCCTGGAGAACTCCTTGCGGTGGGATGTGGCGCCCCTCCTAGCTGGTTGGATGGAAACCATACGATTTTCCGCAGGAAGCCATGGAATTCATGGGGATATGCTGGGATGTATAACCAACAATTGGGGTTACCCTCCGGTGTCATGAAACATGGCATGCGGGAGATGGGCGTTCCCAACCATATTAGATTTCCGCAGGGTAAGCAACAGAAAGTGAGGGTTCAATCCAGAAAACATGTCGTGTTTGATCAAGAAACAAAGGTTAGGAAGATGCAAAAGAGGCGGAATTACAATACATTTCCTGGAACCATGGAAGTGGAATTTCTGACCCGCATTCGTCGGATTGGTAGATTCAAGATTAGAGCCTATTAGGGCAGGAAGGCTGTTTCAAGTATATGTGACATCAAATGCGCCTGAAATCATTGAGGTGTAGTTTCGTGGATCAACGGGATCCCGGATTTCTGGAAGCCTCCCACCCACTTGATCTGCGCGGACAGGTGTGTAGCTAGAATCAATGCTGTGGATGTTCCTTTTCGACCTCAGTCTTTGTTTGTAGTGCCATGCACCCCAAAACATAGTTTTTCCTCTGTGAAACAAGCCCCAAAAAGATAGGTGCTTGCCTCCAAGATGTCCAGGTGTGCAACTGTTCTATCTCTTTGGGGATTGCGATCAAGAAATATACAGACAGCATCAAAACCCCATGATGTCAATGCTTGTTCCTGTAGCCATTTGAGCAACGGCCAAAGCTTTCTATTGACGCTTGTTGATTTGGGTGCTAGACTATCAGCCATAGCAGATCTCTCACTCCAGGTGCTTCAAATCACCATTTCTCAACCAAAAAATCATGGGTGAAACATCCATTAAGTTGCAGCTAGAAGTGGAGAAGATCCCCACATCCATTAAGTTGCAGCTTGAAGTCCTAAATAGTTTGGTTGGTGTTGGCAAAATACATCCCATTCTATCCCCATGAAATCTCCACTTGCGGCTGAAAATCTACAGGAAACTTCCTGAATTGGCTGGCAAATATGGAGAGTCAATGTTTTACCCCAAAAATTGGCTGGCAAATATGGAGAGTCAATATTTTGAGTTAAGATTTTCTTAGCTTTTCCCACTGCGCCATGGGAGTCCTCCGAAAGATCAGCCTCAGCTCCAGCGAGGGTGGGCTTCCGCCGCATGGCCGAAGAAGGGGGAGAAATGACCAGTGAGCCTTGTGGCTGTTGTGGTTTGTACCAAGTTCCCCAAGAAAAACCATGGGAGAATGGGGATTTCATAATAAGATATCTGATATATATATAATGATATATAGTGATATATATATATATACATAGTGATTTATAATGATTGATGATGATATATAATGGTATATAATGGTATATTTATAATAACATATAGTGATGTATAATGATATATATATAATATTATATAATAGAATGATATATAACGACATATAACTAATTAATTAGCCAACTAACCAACTTACTTACTTACTAACTTAACTAACTTAACTAACTTAACTAACTTAACTAACTTAACTAACTTAACTAAGTAACTAAACACACAGACTAACTCAACACACAGACTAACCAAACAAACAGACTAACTAATAAACTATATAACTAAACTAAACAAACTAAACAAAACTCAACTGAACTAACCTAACTAAACTAACCTAACTAGCCAAACTAACTAAACTAACTGACTAACCAACTATCCAACTATATTCAATTTGAGGATGGATCAAAATCTATGTGTTTCGCTGTTCCACAGATTTGGGGGAGTCTTCAGAGCCAGCTATTCCCAGCTATTTTAATGTCTGAACCGACCCATGGCCAAATAATTAGATCATCAATTAAATCAATATTCTGCAACTGGATGGGTTAATAGGGATGTGTTTAATCCACAACTGGATGTGTTTAATTCACAACTGGATGGGTTTCAAACATCTGTGTTTCCTTAGGGATGACGTAGCCCACATCCGACCAATTTTGGGGATGGGTTGAACCCGCAATGCCATAGGGTGATCCCTTGATATGTCTGGATATATTGGGAAAGAGGTGATAAAATCCACATTAAATCTCTAGATAATGCCCTTAAACCTGGGAAACAGAGCCAATATCCAATGGTTTAATAGGGATTATTCTGCTCCCATTCTGGCAATAATAAGACTTTGCCAGCAAGTATCAGAGGATACACCACTGGTATTTTTTGCTTAAGACCACGTTGGAAAAAACCTAGAGACATTTTATCACCTCTTATGCCATAGGTTGGCGCGTTCATTCAGTTTCCAATATTCCAATTTCATTTGCAAGGATGGTCCCCAATTGACCAAGGTCAACCCCTAGAGGACAAACCCATGGGCTTTGCAAAGTCAACCAAGATTGATTAAGCCGCGGATGACAAAGCCCATGGGTTGAATCCATGGAATTTATAGGGACCCCCAATGATGGAGCATTCATTTCCATAATCTTCCCGTACTATTGGGGTTCCTATGACTTGGAGTAGTATGGGAGTAGTATGGGAATGGGGGTCCCATCAGGGAGGGATAGAAAAAAGGGAATCCCCATAAATTTCACGAATGAAACCACCAACCACTCATTGTATGATCCATCTTCCCACTACGCCAAGGCTCTTGGCCGATGGCTTCAAAGAAGTCCTGGATACCAATGCCATGGTTACGCGGCAGCTGTCAGCCTCCCTGATGTCAGGGCTGGGACCCTAAGGTTGTCAAAGTGGAAAGGTTCACCCAGAAGTATGTGGGTTTAAACATGGTTTCACCAATAGAGGGATGGTTAAGTAACCCTGTGTACCCAACCAAACTAGAACGTACATGATATGAGTATGTGTGTTTTACGATGTTCACTACGCTGAGTCTCACATTTCACTCATACCCGCGGTAGCAAAAAACAGCTTCGACAACTATGAGTATACAACCAACCAGCACGGGAGATACCAAACACTGCAGAAATCATCGGCTGCAGATAAGTCCATGTCTTGAAGTATGGCCGTAGAGGATTCTGCCATTTATTGATATATATATATGCACACATCTTATCTGGGATTCTGCAGATTTCCCAAGAGGTTCAACCAAAATAACAGGTAAAATACGGTAACACGTTGTCCCTAACTGATCACCTGGTCCATAATTCAAAAGGTTGATTCATGGTGAAGGCTACTGGTCGCCTCTGAAGAACTCGATCTGATCACCATTCTGGGGACGGTGATTTTTCTCTGATTGTTGCTGATGTTCCAAGGGTGGTGGCTTAACAATGTCAACTGTTGTTTGGAGATCCTGAATTGGTTCTGAACGCACAGGGCAGTGGCATGCAGTGGCTCATCAAGACTCAGAATTCCCTATCATGAATCCCTGAAGTTAACAAGTGGCTCTGTCTCAAGACTAGGCATACCTGCGGTTGATGGACACTTTAGCGTACTGGAAAAACAAGTTCGAAACCATGGGATGGAATTCGGTGTCAGTGTCATTTGTTGTTTAGTACAAAAGCAATAAATTGATTTCACATACGTAGCGAAGGAAAATCGGCTTATTGCCAGGTAATTAATAGTTCACTCATCATAAATCACAATAAAGCATCTATAAATGGGTCATTTTCTATAGCAAACTGTAAATAAAAACCAAAGGATTCCGATTGGGAAGCCAGGTCCGCCACAGCCGGCGGTATTTCATGGTATTTCCCTGAGGTGGGCATGATCTTCTTCGAAGTGGCTGGTGGACCATATGGCGCAGAGCCGGTGGTGCGAAAAGGCCACGGAGTTTCTGTTGGATCTGGTGATTTACCTCGAAAAATGGGGATTGAGTGGCATTGAATGGATTGGATGGATAAAAAAATGATGGGATTGAGTCGGATTGAGTCGGATTTGCTAGCATTTCATTGCATTTGGTGGATTTAGTGGGATTTTTCTGACATGGCTGGGAAAGCCACCAGAGATTTTCCATTGAGTCACCTTTGAATTGTAAAATTATGCACAAACTTGGGATCTTCCAGAACTTCCAGCAAGCCATGTTTGAATATTAGAAGAGCCTCAAATGATGGTGGGGTCCAGCTTTCCAGGACACTTCCCAACACTGAGAATGGGTGACAATGTGGATCAGCCGGATTTGAGGATCCAGAAAAACTAGCCTCTGATTATTTAACATACTCATAGCTATGGAAAAAGGCACATTTATGCTTTGTATATATATATATATATACACAATTATATATATATATATACAACTATATATATATAGTTTGACATATATATTTATTATTTATAATATATATATATAATTATATATGTTTTATGGTGATTTACCCATTCAAAATTTACCCATTTCATTGAACTGCCAGAGGATAATATAAAAGTCAACAAGAGGGCTCACCTTGCGGCACATCCCAGTTTTTTCCACGTAACTTGAAAATATCACGATGATCTGTGGCTAATAGCCATTGAATAAGGGAAAATGATGATTATATAACCCTGGGATGTGGGGGTACGTACCCTATTTTCAGACAAAGAAAAAAAATGATCATTGCATGGTGAAGATGGTCATGATTCATGATAATTCACCTTGCTGAAGACATACGACGCAGAACCCGAAAATTGGGGAATTAACCTATAATGGTTCATGGGGATGTAATATATAACTAGTAATCATGGGGTTGCACACCAGCAATCATGGGGTCTGTGGTGATATGTGAGGATATCAAATGTCAATATATAGTCTCCGCAGATGACGTTTGGACTCTTGAAGAAAAAGTGCATCTGCAGCCTCCGCGGATTCCAATAGACATTGAATCCCGTCCCCAATCGAGAGGCTGCCATGAAATCCTGGGCCCACACGGGAATTGGGATGAGTCGATACATGGGACCATCTGGACTGAATATCCATGGGACCATCCATGCTGTGAAAATTTGGAGGTTCAGACTGCAGGTAAGGCTAAGTAAGTCTGAAGTTATCTTAAGTAAGTCTTATCCTGATCTTTTCTAGTGCATAATATGAAGTCTTTGGCCCTGAGGAATACAACAGAGTCACCCAGCGGGTGCCACGGTGATCCACGGTGCCAGGTGGAGCTGTGCTGAGCATTCTGGGATTTCTGTTGATTCCTTTGATTTGGTCCTTACCCATCGCAGTCTCTTGGATATCAAACGGATGATGGGTTGTGATAGAGTGATATGACAGATATGTTAGAGTCAGCATATCATGGATATCTCAGATTTCATCTGGTTTCATGGTACACAAATATGAACAACATGTTGAGCATTGTTGAGCCTTTCAAGTTAAAGGCTCAGTGACTCGCAGAGTTTGCTTCTCAATGAACAGGTTCGTGTTTGTTTGGGAGTTCACCAGTTTGACCTCTAGCCAACAAGCCAAGTAGTTCCAAGAGTTTCAGCGCCCAACAACTACATTTAACATGGAACCCAAAAAATACCATATCCAATAGGAAAATCATGTTGCAAACCTGGTGGTTGGGAATCCATCTCAAGTTTGGGGTGTGTTCATCATCAATCTCAAGATCTGAATACAATAACTTTCCACAATTTCACAGAGTAACCGATGTAGTGAAACCTTGATAGCCCGGTAGCCACAGAACTCATCAGACATCAGAATAGGGTTAATTTTGCATGAAACTACCAAACGGTTTTCAATCTTGTCGTAGCCCGAAAATTAGGTTGTGCGATTCAATCACAAGCATGAATTGGAGAGTACAAACAGTACAAACTCTAAGTCCTGCGAAAATCAGAGTGATCAGTCATTCTGCTTAGATCTCTCATCTGTAGGATATCCAATGACTTAATCCCACATGATCAGCCTCTGGGTACCCAGCCACGTTTGTTAACCAGAGGCTACTGCAAATGTTCAGGTGTGTTGCTTGTTGAATTTCTATGTTGGTTGAAGAATGGTGAATAAAGTCCATGTTCCTCCCTTTTTCGCACAACTTCATACCAGTTCTACGTACTCACCGAGGAAGCAAATGACATCAAGTTTCTTCGGTGTGTATCTTCCCTAGTTCAGGTGATGACAGCTGAACTCTGTAGCCATGACCCACACGTTGGACGCTCGCCAGCATTTTGGTGTTTTTTTGGCTGGAAAATCCACCAGAAATTATGGCTAGAAATGATTCATAATGATTTAATATGATTTATATATCCCCCTGGCAATATCCCTTACAAAGCCAGGAGGTCGGGCTCCCAAAACAACCAAGTTTTGTACAAGCACTTTCCTCTACAAAGCTTGCATCTCACGCTCTGACATTGATGCTAAATTGACTGTTTTTTTTCAACATAAATGACTCCTAGCTTTGTAGAGGGATGTTTTTGAGCCTGATGTGAAAATTTGAAAAAAAATAACCTATATCCATCTTTGTAGAGCCAGACCCTTCTGATTTTCAATCATTTTTAGTTTTGTATCCCAAAGAAATTTCATATTTTCACCGTTTGAAATTTGTAGTGGGAGTGGGTTTGTCTGCAGAATTAAGTAGGTTGAGGTTTGTAAGGTGTAGATTTGTCCTTGTTTTGTAGGTTTGAACTTTGTAACTGCCTGTCCCCGTTGCTGTTTTTTTTGCTGTGAGATAAGATTTTCCTCAATGATTTGATGAGATATTATGATATATGACATATATTTTGACTTTGAATGAATAGATATGAGCATTGAAACCCAGTGCATTATATATATATATTTGTAATATGTATGTATTGTTTGATAGAATTTCTTTGGGTCCCAATGAATATCAAGCATGAACATCCATCATCAAGCAAGAACAAACTAGAACAAATTTGAACAAATATCTGAACACATCAGGGCAATCTAGCAAATTCCATCAAATTCCTATCGGGGATCGGGGCGTTACAAAGCTCAAAGAAAATAGGTTTTTTGGGTGTAAGCTGATGCTAATTTGGCATCTTTTTAACAACATAAATGTCTCCTAGCTTTGTAAAGCCTTATGTTGTGAAAAAAACACCTGTCATAGAGCAACCTGGGTCTCGAGCTTTGTAAGTTTTACATTCTATGATGGGCCCCCTGTTTCAACTTTGTAGAGGCCAAAAAAAACCTGATACTACATTTGTGGTTACAAAGCTCGGCTCCCAAGTTACACATGGAATTCACAGGGGGATATTTATATAATGGTTCAGAATGGTGATTAATTAGTGGATTTATCCCGATTTATCCCCCAGAAATAGTTCGATGATTTCCCAGCGAACGAAACCTTCATTTTTGCGGCCATGTCCGAGCTTGCCGTGTTTGATTTCCGGAGGGTCATGGCATGTCGGAGCCAGAGCCATGGTTAGTTCAAGCAGTAGCGCTTCTCGGGATTCACATTGAAGCAAGAGTTATTTGAACATGCCAAGCATTCACAGCCCTTTTCGGAGGTTCCATCGTCTCTGTTTCAGGTGGGAAGATCCATTTCGTCCATAAATCTTGGGGCCCATGGGTCGGCTGGATGAATGGCACCTTGGCGCAATTGTGGTGATCGACCCTAGTGCTGGCTCTGTGAAGATCTGATATATGTAAATGAGTAGAATGAGTAGAATCCCTTCCCCAAGAATCACATGAAGGATCCCAAGATGAACCATTTCAAATTTCATGTAGCAAACCAGGCCTCTATGTGGATGTTTATGAAGTAGTAGGGATTAGGGGATTGAAGATTTTCTGTTCCCCTCAAAATTCATCTTGAAGCCACAAAAAATAGACCTGCAAGGTGAGGCTATGAATTAAAAGCCCTGGTACCTCCGTATTCATCCACCTAAATATGGTACAATATTTATATATATATATTATGTCATATATATATATATATCATATATATATTATATATATATATATGTAATCATTATATATATATATATATGCCTTATATGATTTATATAAGTTTTGACCCAGCCTCATGTCCAACATGCCGGTCCAGCAAGTTCCGCCCCAGAATTGAGGCTGGTTCAACGCTGTGAGCAACGTCTTTGACGTAGCCACTCTGCCCGCCATGGCTATGGGATATTTGGAGACCCTGCTAGGTGCCTTGGCCAGGTTCTGAAGTTTCACACCTTTTCAGATGGTGCATACAAGGTGGTGCCCCCCAACCAGTTATGTTTGTTGGTTTGTAAACCCATCTATACGGATAATGTCTCTATTATAGGAACCTGTACTTAAACCCACTTATAGGCCAACTCAGCAAACTATGGCACACCTGATTGTAGTAATTGGGTGTCCTATGAAATCTCCCAGTCAGAAAGGGAGCAGCTGGTTTCTATCCATGTCCTCCAGGATGGCGTTTTGGTATCAGGGTCCATGATCTCTGTCATGTAGTGCATAGGTGTAAGCATGGAGTTGAGTGCAGCATGTCGAGCATTGCAGCATAGGTCGCTGGGACTTGAAAAACGCCAACCGAGTCCCATGCATTCCCAACTATAAACGCTGGGTGATTAATACTTCCCCAGTGTAAGTTGGTATACATCCCTACATCCCCATTCTATTCAGACACCCACTGTTTTTGTTGAAACCTCCAGCCCAGTGGTCCCTTCCCCTGAAGGCGTTGCTCTTTCAGATGATGTGCGATGGTGGACATGTTTCAGTCTCATTTGGATGGTCGCTTGGCCAACCCATGATCTTTGAGACTTCCATCAATCAACCAGTAGAAGTCGAGCTTCCAGTACCAGGAAGCCAGCTTTACACCTCAGCCGTACTTACTGCAGTTATGTTGGACACAGAGTCGTAGTAAACCAGCTTAAACCAGCTTACTTTCGACTCAAATTGTGATCCATTCAGGATCATCAGAGTCCAAGAAAAATCCGCTTCTACCCCGGAAAAATAAACCCCTTGTTGGTTACTTAAGGATGCGTCTGAAAATGGGGCCTACCGGGGTGCCCCGAAACAACACTAGATGACAGGGACAATGATGCTAAACTGCGGGATTTGGGGTGTTTTTGCCAAAATGTTCAACGCATCCGCTTAGCGATGTTTGATGAAAATTATTCGGATGTTTCTGAAGTCATTGGCGGCCAAAGTTCCCAAAGGATATCGCCATATTTGATCATATGTGGTTGGTCAATCCATGGCTTTCCTGTGAATTCTCCCGGCAAACCGGTCAGGCCGTGGTGACCAACGTTGCCGGTGTCGATATCGCAGCCTGGCCTCAAACCCGGGAGATCAAGAGTTCAAAGGTTCGAAGCTGCTCAAACAAGATTAAATTGCACAAGATTTCTATGGAAGAATATATGGAAGAGTTGTAATTTCATAGATGTGTGATTTCTGTAAATGTCTATTTCAGTTTCTTTTTTGTTAGAGCAGATATTTGCCTCACCCTGATGATTTTGCATGAGATCTGAGATGTTTTTGAAATGGTTTGTATGGTCTTTGGTTCCTGTTAAGTATGAAACAACGTGCCAGGATCAGGATGAAACTGGTTCGTTTTCCATCTAATCTGGTGGAATACCTTTTGCCGTAAGTGACTGCTTGAGTTGCACAGAATTTCTTGCCCAAGATGTTTCATAGCTGAGCCTTCAGTCTCCAGGACCCAACAAAGCGATGTGCTCTGTGTACTCAGCAGTGTCAGGTGACAAGCTTGCCGTTTTATGATCCTGTATGATGGAAAAACATGGAAAAACTGCAAAAGAGATGAAGCAGTCCCTGAGCACTCAGATTGGAGTGCCGCAAAGGTTCCTGTCAGAAGATGGATCCTGGGAAATTCCAGATGATGACGCGTTTACAGCCCAACAAGTTAAAGTCCAGCTGGTGTGCTCAAAACGTTACTGAAGTGCCCGCGTAATCCCAACTTCACAGATCTGAATGGCAACGCGCTACTGCACCATGCTGCGAATGGACACATCAAACCTATGCAGCTACTGCTTGAAGCAGGTGCAACCGTGCAACCAAAGATGCGCCAGACGAAGGAGCTGAAGGGAACACACCACTACACATTGCTGCTCAAAATGGCCAAGTCAAAGTTGTTAAGACTCTGATTGAGAATTGTGCTGACACAGACAAGGCCAGAGAAGTTGATGGGGCAACGCCCGACAGGTGCATACCAAAATTGTTAATTTGCTTGTTGACGCTGGAGTTGACATCGACAAAGCTGTGACTGACGAAGCTACGCCATTGTTCATTGCTGCTCAACATGGCCACATTGACGTTGTTTGCTCGCTGATCGAGAATGGGGCTGACGCAGGCAAGACTAGGGCAGTTGATGGGGCAACGGCTTTATATATTAACCCTATATATCCACCACGTGCTTATATAATATATGTATGGGGTGGGGGGGGGTAGGGTTCGTTCCGACCTTGTTGTGAAGAACTCCACTATGCCCAATTTTTAGCAGCAATGTCGTTCAAGTTGAGTTCAAAAATACGATTTTCTGTATGCTTATATAAATATATAAATATATATATGGGGTGGGGGGGGGAGGGTTGATTCGGAACCATTTGTAAAAAACTCCACTATGCCCAATTTTTCGGCGCGTTGTCGTTCAAGTTGGAGTCCAAAAACCCGATCTTCTGTATCTATCTTGTTTGTTTTTCTTTTTTTTTGGGGGGGGGTAGTGTGCAACGTAGCGGTGTGGCCGGTATGGGGTTGGGGTCGGTTTCGCGACGTTTTTCGTTCCAAAAATATCTGTCCTGACATGTTCAGGACCCATTCTGTCAGGCGGGTGCTTCGATAGAGACGCAGAATGGCAATGCGGAAGTTGTTAATGCGCTGATTGATGCTGGCATTATCATCGACAAAGCCAAACTGAACACTGGACCAACTCCTTTGCACGTTGCAGCTAAAAGTGACCATGTCAAAGTTGTTCACACTCTGTTGCAGAATGGGGCAGACACAGACGAGGCCAGGGCAATTGATGGGGCAACACCCCTGCTTCTCGCAGCTCAGAATGGCCATCCAGAAGTTGTCAATATGCTTGTTGATGCTGGAGTTGACATCGACAAAGCCAAGACCAACACTGGAGCCATGCCATTGTCCATCGCGGCTCAAAATGGCCACGTGGATGTTGTTCGCTCGCTGCTTGAGAATGGTGCTGACACAAACAAGGCCCGGGCACTCGATGGACAAAATCCTTTGCACATTGCAGCTGCGAAAGGGCATCTGGACGTTTGCTGATGTTTGCTTGAGACTGCGGGGAGCAACTCTGTAGCACGATTGGCACCGTGCGAAAAGGGAGCGTTTGCCGTGTATCAGTGTATCAGTTGATCTTGAACGTGAGCACCGCTACACCATGTCTGCAGATTTGTTTGGGGTCATCAGCCTTTCAAGGCCTGGATTCACAATTCACAACCCAATGAATGAAATCAAAGTGTTTTCTCCCTCAAACAAATCCATAGCATTCCATAGCGACTGTGTAGTTAGTCTGTTGGTTTCAACTAAGCACATTGTGTATGTATATATTAAAATATATTATATTATTAATATGGCTGCAGCTCAAAATGTAAGGTCCCGATCCATACCCCCGATCATCCCTGATCCATACCCGTTTTTTGAGCCATAGCCATATAATTATGATTGATTAGTATCGATCATATATATAATAATGTGATATGTGTATTGGATTGTATTGGTGTATATGTACATTTAATATGAATTTGACTATGTACTTGTAGAATCAGCCACATGTGGAACTTAGAGATGAAGCCCTTCACATTTGTTTCTGCTGATGAGATCCGATGGGAGATGCGTCACGTACGCTGGAACACGAAGATTCATGATTCATGGCGCCCTGGAATGTTTAGATGACGATCTCCCATTAATTTCATGGGAATTTCCATTTCCCTGGGGAGTTTCACCACAGCATATCTTCGTAGCTGTTGATCCCATCAGAAACCTATGAAAACTGGGGGGTCGGTGCATCCTGAGGGCAAACCCACAGAGGGGATTGGTTGAAAACTATGCGCTCCCCAAATTTGATGTTCAGAAACATGAGGGTAAGAACCTGTATATACATTATATACCTGTATAGAATTCCCTATACTTTGTTAAATGTGTAGATGAACATCCATAGATCCAAGATAATTTCTATGTTCACCAGGGCACTGATCGAGTTGTGAACCCTAGCCTGACCAAGCGATTGGATCCACCTGGGATGGGGCCACATTGTTGGGCTAAAAGATGCCCTTTTGGGCCTCCTATTATTTGGAAATGCATTGTTTTGGATTGGCCAATCCCTTTCGCCATGAGGTCGGAAAGATATCATATGCTGTTTGCATTTTGGTGTGTTCCCCACCTTTGCTGCTGGTGGTGACTCTTGGCTTGTTAAGGTCGGAAGTCGCTGGAATTTTGGTCGATTTGTTTCGGACATTTCTAGGAGACCACGTCTTTGACCGGAAAACCAATCTGGTGAGTTCAGCAACGGTTTGGCTATGAATCCATTAAAGGATGGACATTTAGTGGCCCATTGGTCAACGCGGATTATGCTGACTTGGAATCATGTGTTTGGGCCTATGCAGTTTAATTTGTCACTAGTTTCTGCTGAAGTTTCTCAGGCAACGTTTAAGAGTGGAAACCTTGAAAGACCGACATCACTGAACGGGAAGGTGTCCATTTAAAAAATGTAGACTACCCGGGTAAAATGGTTCTAGCTCAAGACTATCTAAAGGCCAATGGTTGAGGATATCATGTTCCCATTAAAGTAACTACACATGGGATATAAATGGATATGATATACCTATTTTTTTGAGCAGCCAAATGAAAAGATGTGTTGCACATGCACATATTTTAATGCACGGCATATTAGGACAGGCCGGACGAATCGCTAGAAGACCTCGTTTTGGAAAGTCTTTCGCTGGTTGATATTCAATCAGATCGTTTTTTTACGCGAAGAGTCTCAGGTTCGACTAGTGGTTCCCCTATGCTTCCTGTGTTCACCTTGATCATGAGCACGATTGTCATCACCGACATCGTCATGATCCACCACCACAATCACCATCACAATCACAATCACCATCATTGTCATCATCAAAACATGTTACGCTTGCTTATGTATGTATACATAGACAGATGTGTATAAATTTGAGATTGGCTGACTCGTTTCCAACTATCAGCGTTAATCATTTGGTTTTGCAACCCGTAGAAATCATAGAAATGGGATGAACTGGGTTGATCATCGGAAATAACCAATATCTTTGGGCTCAGATCATGAAGCCATCAGGCTTGGTGTGCCTAAGATGGGCACATTGCCTAGCACCAACTGGCAGGACGAGATGGGACCTGGGGACCCAAAAAGCCAGGAGAGATGGTGATGTCATTCCAAACAAAAGCGGGAAGCGTGCAAATGTTGTAGTTTGTTTCCACCAAAGTGTGGTTTTCAACCAGAAAAGTGTTGATGTCAGCACTATGTTGCTACTAGTATGTCCTTTTATATTCAATCAATTGGCAGGAACATTGCGCTAGAAATTGACTTTGCACTGAAATTGGGATTTGGAAGGATATCCGAATGCCTTTGTTTGATTTTAGTAGCCAGGCCAGCCCCCATCCCGCCAGTCTATCACTGCTTGAATAATTGAGTACAGCGTACCTTCCAGCTATCTTCAGTTTGTTTTTTTAATACAGACGGAAAATCCACTTATGGATACTTATGGATCATTTTACAAACGGGTTTCCCCATAGGTTTTCTATTTGTGTGTGCTCATTTACATGTATTTGAAATGTACTCAAGATGGCTCACCACTTGTTCGATATTAATGGCAAGTAAATCTAGATCTCAGAAGTATCTAATTAGATATGTCTATAGTGTATTTATAGTATAGCAATCTTATAAGATCTTTCAGATGTTTCACGACTTTTCCATACTTTTCCCATAGGAAAGTCGTGGCAAGGGATTTCCAAAAGACCTACCTTTGGCTTTGGGGAGGAGATTCGTTGGCTGCATTTTTTGACATCCTTGATGTGGAACACTTCAGGCAGGGATGGTCAAAAAAAAGTTGGGGATAGAACCAGCTGGAACACCATATCAATTGGGTATAGTTGGGTATAATTATTATACATATATATATACATACATATATATATATATGTATATATATATATACATATATATATATATGTGGTATGAAATTTCAGGGATGGTTGGAACCAGCTATAAAATTGAGGATATCCACTTATCAGCTTAAAGAACCATATTTCTTTTAACGGTTATCTAACGGTAGCCAACAAAAACTGGCTTCCTTGAGACTTAGTCACATATTTTTTAGAACCCATCACAAGAATAAAGTTGTTTTTTCTAAGCATTTCTAAACCAATTTTTCGTCATTTTTTTTGGAACCATTTTTTTCACAGTTTTTGTTTGTTTTCACTTTTACATTGGTGAAATGTGGTCAAATCCCCGTGTTATCTTGGCAAAAGCCCTTCCGAGATCGCCACAGGTTTCGACGATGCTGGCGCCTCTGCGGCGGAGATCAAAACGCCTTCAGAGATCTACCCCAAAGCGTTTTTTTGGCGCGAAAAACGATGACAGTTAACGTAACGGTGGCTTTTAAACGCTGGTGACAGGTGGGCATCCATGTTGATATATCAATAGGATATGCGTATCATATGATTACAAATTACATGATTATAGATACAACCGTGGTTGTAGGTATTATATATAATTAGTATATATAGAGAGATTGTACATATCATATAAGGTATAGTATAGTTGAGATGTATGTTGCGTGTGCATTTGTTATGATGAAGAATCAGCATCTTTTCAAGATACTGGCACAGAATTATTGTTGTTTTGCAAGCCATGGCAATGCAGGATGGCAGTGCGAAAAGACATTCTATTTCATCAATAATCATGTGTGTTTCATGTGTTCCAGCGATGCTAGTGTTATCGAGGATAAAAACATTAAGTTCCAGTTTGGAATTGTTCAAATGTCCATATCCATGTATTTTGCGGGCTTACTTCCAAAGATTGAAAACTTAATGGGTCTGTCGGAAAATAGGTACCCCGAACCTCTATGGTTTATCAGCACGTTTCACCTTCAATCCCATGTTCACCCTTGGATGAAGGGAACGTTCCCAAACCTCTATTTGGGAGTATGGTTTCCTTTGGATGTTCCTTGAACCCTTTCCATTCAAGTTTGCTCTCCTAGATGAAACCACCCGGTGCCTATTGAGGCTTGGAATCTCTGTGGCTCTGGTCACAGCTCTGTATGTACCTTGGCAGCCATGATGGTTGCCGTCCGTTCATGTGTTTTTGTTGGTCTGGAAATGGATGTGTCTGAAAACAGGGTATGGTACCCCGAAATTGCAATTTTAAAGGCGACAATGATGATAAGCCATGATATTTCGGGGCACCATATGTTCAAACAACCCAAATATCCAACAATCATGATGTTCCTATCATATAGCAGGCCAGGTCGTACAGGATAATCCATACGTATCTATTCCCGCACATGAGTCACAAGATGCTTGTTTCAATCCTAAGATTTGACTCTACAGTAATTATGGATCTCGAAATTCGACCCTGGTAGCTACTTGGAGGATCGTCCTACCCAGCAATTGGCTCGCAAGCTTATGATAAAGTCTTAAGTTGTATTTTTTTGTCGACCCTATGATTCAATTAGTGATCAGAACAAAGGACACGGTTTCCTTGAACAGGTGCCTTGCCAACCCAGCAATTTTGATGATCAACAAGCACAGCATGCTGGAAATTCGGTATGAGTCAAAATCAGTAAGCCCAAAACAGTAATTTAAGATCCTGGGATCCACAAAAACTTTCGCACATTTTCCATGGGGGTGTGAAGGAAAAGGTTACACGAACCACTCTACAGTACATTTTTTTAAAATGGTTTCTTGCAGTGTTTCCTTGATATTAATCCATTGAAAGTCGTAGTTGTTGGGAGTTAACTTTGATGATTAGATCCACATGTTTGATGATTAAGTATGACAAAGGCCCTGATTTTTGATGGTTAAAATCCCAAGTCTTCGCTAAAATCACCCGTGAATCCCAAGGTGTTGCCCATCGCAGTGGGAGTGGCGCTCGAACCTGAAACTCGCCTCTGGCACGATGGCTTCCTTGCCACCATAGGTGGAGGGGCAAGGATATGGGGATTTCAATGTATATACTGATATACAGTATATTGTATACTGCATATATGCTAGATATATCATATGCATATATCATATAATTGCATATGTATGTAAATATATATAATATATGCTCACCCCTCGCCACAGAACCTACCATGTTCTTCTTTTTGTTTGCAATCTCAACCATTTGCCATTTGCCATTTGCTACACCAAAAAAAACATAAATTTGAGGACCTACTCTCCCCACCCCAAAACATATAGACTAAAAAGTTTTATTTTGTTTGTGTGTGTTTTTCTCGCTCTCCCGAAACACGTCTCCCCAAACATTTTTTGGTCTTCAAATGAGGCCTTCTAGAATGTTTATCACTTCAATCCATGTGACAATGGCACTGCCGCGCAAAACCCGTCACTGACTTCTGGTTCTCTATCGAGATTTTCAGACAAATCCAAATGAGAAGTACTGTATTCAAAACCTCTGTTGTTTGATGATTACTGGTATGTGGGACTGGGGGATTGCACTAACCCTTATTTGCCCTATACTAGGGAATATCATCAAATGATGCTGCGAAATCGGTGAAATTGCCATGATCAAACCATAACTCCGTCCAGGTGAACGTGTAGGAGGCCCCGCCTTGGGCGTGTCTTTGTGCCTTGATCGACTGTGAATCCTGAGGATGAAACATGGGGATGGGGTCAAAAGGCAACAATCAACGGGTTGATTTGGGGTGTTAACATTGTTTAACCATCAAAAGTTGGGACTTAGTAACGTGACTTTTTAATTTAAGCATCAAAAATTAGGATATAGTATGATTTACTCATGAAAAGCTGGGACTTAACTGGACTTAACATGATTTAACTGTCAAACACGGCGATTCAAAACCTGCCAACTGAGACGTTTTTCGTTAACGTTAGCCATCCAGTCTCTTGGGGTGCCAAGTTTGACCTCCAGGGATGAACCATGATTCTGCAGCAATCAACACCATCCTGGGTTGACTACAGGTTGTATAACTTGTGTTGCCCCACCAAATAAGTGCGTTTGTTTCGATGTGAGTTGTGTAGTCCTGAACGCTTGTGGCCCATCGGGCCATTGTCTTCTTGGAATATGTGTTGGTGTTCCTTTAACTGTTGGTTTTCATGTTCAATCCCTACTTGACAAAAATAACCCTAGCTGCTTCAAGTGGTTTCCAGCGAACCGCCAGCAGCAACACGGGCCTTATCGCCCAGCGATTCAGGTCTTGTGCTGGTTTCATCTCTTCTTTAGCGCAGCTACTGGATTGCATTGAGGAACAGCATTTGAAGAGTGGTAGTTACTGGGAAATTGTGTAAAGTGTTTGCATGGAATATTTGGGACCAATGTGATGATATATGGAATTATATGGATGTCCCTCTGTTCACATGTTTTTGTTCTATATCCAAAAAGGATTCCCAAAACATCCGCCGTAATCAGCCGATGGATTTTCGGAGAAGGATGATGATGATGATGATGATGTCGTGCGACGTAGGTAGCTTGTGCTGTACCTGTGCTTCCGTTGATACACTCCGTTACTCCGCGCGTCGGAGCAAGGAGAACCCTGAAGGTGAACACCCGATGACCATGTGGAGTCAAACTCTAAAGCACAATGGGAATACGTGTCAGACTTAGACATCCGTGCCGTGGTATCTCTAATAGAACAAACTCCGGATACTGAAACCCCCAATCGTCAAAAGAGATATCTGACAAGCCTGGAGAGGGTGACCTTGGGATTTGCTGATTACCCGTGGGTCGTGAAGGCGTACTGTGGTACATACAGGACATAACAGGACATCTCATGGCAACCCTGCCTCCTGACGGATGAGGCTAGAGTCGGTACATTTTGTGAGTGATGTGGTACCAGGGACTTATGAAGGTTGGGGATAAATCCCCCGAACAAATTGAGAAAAACCAGGAAACCTGTGTCCCGTTAGCCCTACTCTCGTAACACAGCCGTAGCTATCGTGTTACTACCCTGCGGCCGGGGACGTACCCCTCATGGCGCGCAAACCTGGGGCTAAGGTCGGGACGGAAGAACATAGAAAGGGAAGTAGAACAAAAACGTTGTAGCTGTGTAACTACCTCTGAGTAACCTCCTGGGGTGAAAGACTACCAAACAAGCACTTCCACCGTATATTTCAGGAATTTTGAGTCCTGGCACCCTGGGTGACATGCCGGTGAAGCCTGTGTGCCCTGCCCGCCTGAGACCATTCAGCTGTCCACTTGCATGTCAGCCAACCCGCCTTTGTCTTTTCCCTTGCCCTTGCCCTTGCCACCTCTTTTGCCATAGCCCTTGCCGCCCCCTTTGCCGCCTTTCTGGCTGGCTTTGCCTGCTGCTTTCCCTTTGCCACCCTTGCCTTTGGACCTAACCTTGGGTCCGCGGTCGGGGTAAAGTTGTGGACCTGCCGGGGGGTCCTGTAGTTTGGAAAGGACATAAAGACACCAGTTGACGTAACCTTGTACCAGGACGTGTATTGCCCGACTTGCCTCACCATGTTTAAGAACCAGTCCAAACCCTCCGGCACGACCTTTGTGAACCCACTCCAAATTTCCCTGAAAGGAAAATTGTGCACTGAGTGCGGCTCGTACAGCTTGGACCGGGACTCCGCGTTTGCCAGCCGACAACTCTGAGGCTTTGTTCTGAAACAAGACTTCATCCACTTGTTGACCCAATGCCTGTTTGACTGCTGTTTCAACTGCTGTTGACATGGCTGTGCGGAGTTCATTTGGTGGCAGAGTCTTGTTTTCAAACCTGGCCCAAACGGCGTCTGCTTCTGGGCACCTTTCCAACCTGAGGTGGCGGTATGCGTCGGCGATTTCCACTTGGTATTCAACCCTATCAACTCGGGCTTCAAGGGCTCCCATGCGTGTTTGCATCTCTTTGATACTTTGCTGAAGCACCCCTTTTGGTCGGCGAGACGGGTTAGGCGAAGCCATGCGACCGTCAGGATGAACAGCACCAAAAACACTCGAGGAGGATTGATCTTTGTCATGGCTACGGTCAGCGAGTACACTTTTTGGGAAGGGAGCCTATCAGGCCTGCCGCCAGCGCTTCATGTGGATGGGTATACCTTTCGTGGTTTTTCCGGGCCAATAAACTTCCCAAAACCTTGCGACAAAACATGCACGTGAGGTTGGCATTCCCAGGTCCTCTACAAATAGGAAAATGTTGTTGCAGGTCCCGTTTGCGAAATTCTGCGTGACACTTAGAACAAAGAAAGTAGCCTGGACGTCCCTCAACTTCTTCGGCTTGTTCAGCGTCCTCATCTGCCATGCGGCGCTGCAACGCCCTTTTTGCTGCTGGTTTTGGACGAGCTTTTGCTTTCACTGCTGGATGTCCTCCCATGGGTCCTGGGGGTCGTCGGACCAAATGGGCACAATGGGGAGAAACCCTGCCATTGGCACCTCGTGCCGCCAACCTATCCGCTACCTCGTTACCGTGAATACCTGTGTGACCGCGAACATGTTTAAAAGTCAAAGAGAGCTTGGAACGAATCGTTGCAACCAAAGTGGCTACTGACTACGCGAGGGCAAAATTCGTTTGAGGCGTGGTGAGGCGTGTAGCAATACCATATGCGTATGCACTGTCATAACACAGTAGAGCCGATCTATGACCCTGGGGGAGAGGGGGTAAGCTAAGGAGCCATTTGCACGCTTCCCCAATGGCTGACAATTCAGCAGTGTTGTTGGTATGTTCCTGGGCCCCTAATGTTTCAGGATCACATCGCAAAGTGATGACCGGGCCATACAACGCACTGACCCAAGGTGTCTGTGGGTCCGGGTCTGCGGTGGTGAAGATTCCGACCCCCCATCCTGCACCTTGACCTATCCCACCCGACCCATCCGTGAACAGAACCAGGTGGGACGCGTTGTTGATGATATCCCGACGGGATCTATAGAATTCAAACGGGGGAGTAGAGTGTTGGCTGGGCACGTATGGTTCTGCAACTGTTTGGCGCGGCGGAAGGTGTTTCCGCATGCTTCACATGTGAAAGACTGTACCGTAACCAGGTTGGGATCACATATGGCATGGTGTTCTTCATAATGGAACGCAAATTGATTGGCTTTAAGGAAGGTTTCCTGACACACCGGGCATTCCCACTGACCTGCCGCATTCCGTTGTGCGCGCTCATGTCGGCTAGCCTCCGCGCCCCCACCCCGAGCATACATGCGTCGAACCCGTTGCCGTGCGCGACCTCTGCGTACTTCCCCTATATCTTCTTCACTACCTGCTGCCATTTCTTCCGCTTCTGCTTCATTGGGGGCAGTATTGGCAAAAGCCGGGAGGGGTCTGCCCGGGCGCCATGCATTCAAAGCCTGTTCTCTGTCTGGGTGGACTTTTTCGGGGGGGAAAGCTTCCTGAACCCGGCGCTTCCACTCATTTTTATTTTGTGCCAACCTGAACCAATCTGCATCTGCAATCTGGGCTGCCCGTAAACAGCTGTTGATCCATTGAGCTTGGCGGGGAGGAGCCCGGGGGCGGGCTTTGTTGCCGTCAATCCATCCAAACATAGCCACTTTTTGTGGTTTATCCACAGCCATGCGCGCAACATGTCCAACCCACATTAGTGTGGATCTGCGAACTGCCGACTCAAATTCTTCCCATTGCACTAGTCGTCTAAGGTTTGCATTGTTTAAGCCGGCCGATCTGAGAATGCCTAAACGGAGTCCTAAACACCTACGGATGGCCATATTTATTACCTTCTGAGCTCGTTGCAAATGGTTTTGTTGCCAAGCCCGTGTCTTGGAGAAACTAAAGAGAACCCCTTTGACCACAGCCTTCATGACTTGAATGCGAACTGAGAACTTGAGGCGTGATTTATTCCTGTGAGCACCACGTCCTTGGGTCCATGCACTGGCTACCCATCCAAGTTTTTGTTGGCTTTTAAGAAGACGGGCAGAAGTTTCCGCGGCGTGACTGGCTCTATGGGACAACAAAGCTCCTACATGCTTAACTGTGGGCGCCTCTCCTAGCCATGGGACGTCATACGCTGGCGGGGGATCCTGTGTGACTCTGAGACCTTCTGTTTTATCTACGTTGACGTTTCCTGCGAAGTCTCGGATGGTCTGGTTGAACAAGTTTTCTGCTTGATGTATTTCTTGCCCCTCTCCGACAATGCCGGTATCATCCGCATATGCAAAATCCCCAAAGACCCGCCGTCGTACGTGCCTACCAGCATCAAACCTATCAGTGGCTCTTTTGCCTACTCTACCATCTATTTTGTAGGCCCACGTGATACCCGGGGTCAGCGCGGCTGCCGTAGCAGCTCTTGCCCGACGGGCCCTAAACACTTCCAGAATACCTGCATGATAAAGGTTGAACAAAATGGGGCTCGACGGGCAACCCTCTCTTAACCCACGGTCTGGGACAAAACTAGAGGACAAGTGACCTTGGAAACGAACGGCACTAGCCGTGTGGTTGTGTAGGGCCTTAAGAACCTTCAGGAAGCCCGGGCACCCTTTTTTGGTAAGCAAATTCCACAGCCCATGTCTGGCCACTCGGGGGTAGGCTATCTCCAAATCAAAAAACCGAAATACAAAAATCCTATCGTGAGCGGAGCCAGCCGCATCCTCTAGGAAAGCACGGGTCAGTTGTTGAACATCATCGACCCCGGAACCTTTGGTGAAACCAAACTGGAGGGGGTTGCTCCATGTGGATGACCAGACCTGTAAACGACCTGCTACTATTCTAGCTACCACTTTTGATCCCACGGAAAGGAGCGTGATGCCCCGCCATGTATTCCTATCATGTCGAGAGCCTTTCCGTTTCCACAACGGGAAAATTATTCCTTCACGCCACCGTTTAGGCCATTCTGCAGCTTCCTGACCTTCCTCGGCATCTTGAGCTGTTTGCCAAACTTGGGAAATGACTATGGCTAATTCGGCCCGGAGGGCTGGACCCCCGTACTTGAGGAATTCGGCCATAAGCAGATCAGAATTTGGGGCCTTCCCAGTACTCATGTCATTAATACTTTTTTGGATTTCCTCCGGGGTCGGCGGTGAAGACAGCCAGTCTGCTGTAACCGGCAAAGGCGTGATATCCCGCCATACCTCATCCGGGATCTGTCCTACACCAGACTGTATGTGTTCAAAATGCTGTTTCCAAGCCTCTGCCTCCCCTGCAGGGTCCTCGTCGCGTCGAAAACCAAAACTACGTCGATGTTCTTTGACCTGGGTTAATTCCTTAATAATGGCAAACAAAGTGCCACTATGACCAAAATCTGCGGCCCTGTCTGCTGCCTTGGCTTTGGCTGTCATCCAATCTTCCTCCCACTGGTTGAACACTACCACTTTTAGTTTTCGGGCTTCCTGGAGTTGACGACGGGCTCGGCGTTTGTATTGCTGTTGCTCCGCCGCGGTGCAGCCAACGGGGGAGTGGCGTGCTTCCCGATCCTGGTCCCGAGCTCTGGCAATTTCTTGGTCTAAACGCCTGATGTCCTCTTGCTTATCCTTTAGCCATGGGGCTCCTGGGGCTTTGTCTAAAATACCACAAACTTGAACGGCCACATCCCGACAAATTTGACAAATCCGTTCCCAACGGGCATCTACCTCTCTGTGTAAATTTTGGCCTTGTTGCAGGCGTTGTTCCACCTCCTCCATCCAAATGGTACGTAGCTGCTTTGCTTCCTCTGTAGCGCCTGTCATCTTGTACACAGCTGGTTTGGGGGGTTGATTAGTGACCCTGTGTTGTGGTTTCCAGATTTTGCCATGTCTGATCCTAGCTTCGACCGGATTGTGATCTGTGTATTCAGACCACGGCCAGTCAACACTTGGTCCTTCAAATAGGGTACGGCATTGTGTCAAATGCCACCTACTGTTTGCATCTACAAAAATATGGTCGAGCTCATGTTGGGACAAGAACCGGGGGTGCCTCCAGGTCCACCGGTTATGGTGGGCGTATTGGCTTTGTGCATGGATAAAACCTTCTTTTTCGGCCCAAACTCTCCACTCCAAACCCGGAACCGTGGTGCGGGGATGACCAAACCTACCCATTACACTAGCTCCTGCTTGGTGTTCTGGTTGGCAAGTACCTAATTCGGCATTAAAATCCCCCAGAAGAAGTTTGAGAGAGGTAGCTTGTCCCATGTTCTTAATTTGAGAGACTTGACTCCGGAGAGCAACCCTGTCTGCCAATGTAGCGTCTGACGTTGGCGCATACACTCCTATCAAAAACAGCCCGCGGCGCCACCCTTGACGAGGGAACTGAATACCTGCCACCCGTTCCCCCACTGCAAAAATCTTACTCCCTCCAGCTCGCCACCAATCCGCCCAGTTATCCTCTAAGAGAAAGCCTACCTTTCCCCGTGGTATCGACAACCAGGACCGACCATCTACTTGGAAGCTTTGAGGGTAGAGTAAACCTTTGATGTCCGTAAGGACTACACATCCCCACCGTTGAACTTGCATGCGGCGCACAAAACACCGAACCTTAACCTCCAGTGGAAAGAGTCCCTGCAGAGCCCCTAACCCACGCGTGTTCCATGTGGCAACCCTAAGTTCTTGTTTGCATTGGGCTTGGCGTTGCTCGCGTGTTGCTCGGATCTTTCGGGCAGTCAAAGCCGCACAGAGACGTCTTTTATGTTGTGCTTTGTTTACATGCTGTTGCGTTCGACTCAGGGCCCGCCGGAGATGTCGCAATGCTCGCTTGCTTGCGCCTGTTTGCTTAGCTACTAGGTATGCTGCTTCTTTCTTGGCTTTTTGGAGACGTAGTCCCTTAAGTTTGGATTTCCCAGCCATGTCCCAAAAATCACCCCGTACTTGTACAGTGTCGACCTCTCCCGGAGACAAAGATTCAAGAGGTTTGGGTAAGACAGACGGATGTTTTAAACAGCCCGTATCCCGAACAACAACAGACCAGGTGTGCTGATGACCAAAGCGAGTGAGTGTGACTTCTCCACCCAGACCCTCCTTGCTCACCCAAGGGTCAAAACCTGAACAAACCGACCCCAGCACAGCGACCTCATGAACGTAACCGCCGACCAAACGGGTACATTCCAAACAGAGACCCCAAGGCCAAACACAGGGAGACCATGGCCCCAGCGAATGGAGGTATGATCAACCGCCCCGTATTTGAGCCAAAGAGGCACAATGGATGACAATTCCGCCTATACCCAACAGCGACCCCTACCGAACCATGTAAGTCAAGGATAACCCCTGGATATCTGTTGCACGGTGGCGCTCTTCTAAAAGAGTGTGGATTAGCCTGGCAGGGTTCAAGAAACCCAAAGTTGTGAAGAACTATACTGTGGAAGAAAAGGGGCGCGCTGCACTTCCTGCTGAAGTAAACCTTGAACAGAAAAGACCGTAGTTCGTGTGGCGTGCAGACCTCCCAAAGATAATCACCGACAAACGTATCAACCCGAGCTGTGTGCTAAACTGGGTGGAGTTTAGGTCTGAAGCCGCAAACCGAAAAGAAACTCAAAAGCACTTTGAATAGAAAACACATATAAACTGTAATCCGCCTGTCAAGGTGACATAAAAGTGCACAAGATTCAACCGTCAACTTGCAGCGACATGTCCGCACAAGAAATCACAGCGCAAGAAATCACAGCAGGGTCTGTGCTCCATGAATATCCAATGTTGGTGATTATCCCTTTTTGAGGTGACCCGATTTGGTATATAGTAGCCCCAAGATGCATTGCCAGTTGCCCCGGAGACGCCCTCGAGGAGGTAGTAGTCATCCATAGTCTCCCTTTTCGGAGAAGGGTTGGAGGCTTCGGGGCCCATATATCTCACCCACCTGGTGGTTTCCCAATCCATGGGTAGGGGCTTCAGAGTCGGACATTTTTGGGCTTAAGTAGCACACTGGAGACTCTTGATTTTTTCGCCAGGAAGGACAATCTTCATCTGAAAAGAATTGAACAGATATCAAATTTATTGAAGTTTAATAAATCTTAAAACTCCAAGCGGTGGGCTAAGTCCTGGCATATTGGGAGGTTGGAACGGGTACCGTCCCGTACTAGCCGAACCCGCTTTACACAGCAAAAGAACATGTTTATATCCTGTACATAGGGTCTCTGCCAGGGAGGTGAACATGCCCTGACCAGAAATGTGTTCCTGTCTCAAGGACCTTGGACTTGTGGATTGGGAGGTCTGTCCTGTTTGAACTCTGAAATGAGTGCACCCCTCAAACCACCTTTCAAAACGACGTTGCAGGCTCAACGCACTGCTTTGCACCTCGGTGCGGGAAATCATTTGCCTTTCAGACCAAGAGGGTCAGCCAGTGCCAGAGCCGCAAAGATAGGTGACCCCAAAACTGGATGCTGACGATGACCTCACGTGACGTCACTGGATCCCGAAGTGGCCCTGTTTCAGCTAAGGAAGATGGGAGGCCTTGTTTCAGCTGTTTTTGGGTTAGTGTACTATTAGTAAAAATCACTATTATTATATACTGTTACGTTTGTTTTTAAATTCATTGTTATGCTATTTTTAATATTATGATTATTAATTATTATTATTAATTATCATTATTAATAATTATTATTAATTATTATTATTATATTATTATATATTATTATATATTATTACATATTATTATATATTATTATATATTATTATATATTATTATATATTATTATATACTATTATATATTATTATATAATAATAACTATTATTATTAGTATCTAGTTCTACTAGTTCTACTAGTAGTAGTTAGTAGTAGAAAGAAAGTAGTAAGTAGTAAGTAGTAAGTAGTAAGTAGTAAGTAGTAAGTAGTAAGTAGTAAGTAGTAAGTAGTGAGTAGTGAGTAGTAAGTAGTAAGTAGTAAGTAGTAAGTAGTAAGTAGTAAGTAGTAAGTAGTAAGTAGTAAGTAGTAAGTAGTAAGTAGTAAGTAGTAAGTAGTAAGTAGAAAGTAGTAAGTAGTAAGTAGTAAGTAGTAAGTAGTAAGTAGTAAGTAGTAAGTAGTAAGTAGTAAGTAGTAAGTAGTAAGTAGTAGTAAGTAGTAGTAAGTAGTAGTAAGTAGTAGTAAGTAGTAGTAAGTAGTAGTAAGTAGTAGTAAGTAGTAGTAAGTAGTAGTAAGTAGTAGTAAGTAGTAGTAAGTAGTAGTAAGTAGTAGTAAGTAGTAGTAAGTAGCAGTAAGTAGTAGTAAGTAGCAGTAAGTAGTAGTAAGTAGTAGTAAGTAGTAGTAAGTAGTAGTAAGTAGTAGTAAGTAGTAGTAAGTAGTAGTAAGTAGTAGTAGGTAGTAGTAGGTAGTAGTAGGTAGTAGTAGGTAGTAGTAGTAGTAGTAGTAGTAGTAGTAGTAGTAGTAGTAGTAGTAGTAAGTGTAGTAGTAAGTGTAGTAGTAAGTAGTAGTAATAACAATAATAATAGTATATATATATAAATATATATATATTTTTTTTTGCCAGACAAAATCCTGAAAAAACACACACATTCTTAGGGATCCAAATAGTTGATGCGGAAGAGTAACATGCATAATATGACGTGTGGGATTAGCGGAGTGGCATCCACTTCATTTATTTCCATCATCGGTTGCAAAAACATTCCCCGTCATCGTCCCGTTCCTCTTCTTGTCGGGAGACGTTATAGTTACATCTTTGTTTTTTGGGCGTTTCTATCCACAATATTCATATTTGGAAAGTATTACGCATGTTTGCTCCATTTGTTTTCAACCTTAATTACATTTGTTGTTTGGCAAAATCCTACTTGAGTGAACATCTTTGGTGGTTTCAAATATGTTCATAAGTGTTCATCCCAAAAAACAAAATATGTCATGGAGATCCCCAACTGACATGGGAATTTTAGGGTCTGTCTGAAAACTGTAGTACCCTAAAACCCAATGGCTGTCATCATTTTCCCCCATGCTTGGAGAAACCCTGAAATCATATCAAGTTGGTTATAGTTATACATATATTATGTACATACGTGTATATAATATATATATATATATATGTATAGTTATATATATATATACAGCTATATATATATATAGTTATATATATATAGTTATATATATATATAGTTATATATATATACAGCTATTTTTGTTATATATATATATATGATTTTGCAATTATATACGCACATATTTTTATGATATACATATATATATATATATACACATATATTTATAATATCACCACCAATTTCGTGGGTTGTAAGCAATGGGGGACGTACACAAAATGTAAACTACAGTTTTGACCCCCTCGGGAAAAAATCCGAGGGGGACGGCTATTTGTATGTTAGACCCCTCCCAGGTCCAAAGCAAGCACCGTAATAGATACATTTTGAGGGGGGGTCGAAAGTCCGTAACAGATACGTCACCCCGTACCCTCCCCCCCCCTGTACCCCCCCTTCCCGTACTCTACGGATATGGGGGGGAAGGTAAAAATGTTTAAATGTCCGCAAGCAGTTTGTAATTCTTTTGTGAGGTGCCTTTGTGGGGATGTAATCAACCTATTAGGTCCATAGTTATAGTTCCTTGCAGAAAGTGCTCGAAAAAGAAGGTAAAACTAAGATAGAAAAATGTAACCATCCTACACCTGAGGCCTATAATTCCTTGTAGAAAGTGCTTAAAAAAGAAGGTAAAGATAAGATAGGAAAAACACCATCCTACACATAAGGTCCATAGTTCCTTGCAGAAAGTGCTCGAAAAGGAAGGTAAAACTAAGATAGAAAAATGTAACCATCCTTCACCTGAGGCCTATAATTCCTTGTAGAAAGTGCTTTAAAAAGAAGGCAAAGATAAGATAGGAAAAAACACCATCCTACACATAAGGTCCATAGTTCCTTGCAGAAAGTGCTTGAAAAGGAAGGTAAAACTAAGATAGAACAATGTAACCGTTCTACACCTCAGGTTCCATAGTTCCTTTCAGAATCAACATGACATGACACATGTCTAGATGGTTGTTATATTGTGGTGGGAGGGTCACAAGGGGGGCTAGATAGGAACCGTTGCAGAAGGGTGTTTAAGTTCGATCATGTAGGTACATAAAGGAGATTTACCATGGGGACCCCATAAAGGTTCATTTGAGGTCCTTTTGAGGTCCATTTGAGGTCCATTTGAAATCTTTATTTGTATTCGACGGTTTTCCCATAGGTAGGAGGTAAATTTGAAGACCTTCAACATCTCATTTTACATGTTTCTGAAGTTCAAGGATTTTCCAGTAATTTGCAAGGAATAATATACCTCCTATACCTCTATATTAATTATACTACATGTGGAAATAATCAAAAAAGTGTAGAAAAAGTGTGGAATGTATTGGAAATACCAAGCAATCGGGGCCTACAAACTTTTAGTTTACATTTTTGATTTTCTTCAATTCTGCAGACCTTTAGACTATCATTTTATTTTATTTTTTACATTCTACATGTTTTGCAAAAAATGCAAGCTTACATTTTGAACGTTCCCCTACGTTTTTCCTGACTTTACGGAAAAAAGGGGGGAACCTACTAAAATGAAAGTTTGCAATTAGAACGTGCTTTGAAAAATAAATGAAAGGTAACAATTATTACCCCCCCTCCCTGAAATACGTCTAATTTGTAGCTTTCATTTAGGGTACGTCCCCCCTCTCTTAAAAGGGTAGTGATTATATATTTATATTATATATTTACATTATATATTTATATTATATATATATATAATTTGTATGTACATTTATATATGTAATTAATCCCTTCCCCCTATTACTAACCCCCCCGAATAATAAAAACTAGGGTCCGTCCATCTCCAATTTTGGAAAATTTCAGGTTGGCCAATTTGACTTTTAATTGATCCCCTTTAGAAAGCAATTTAAAAATGAAGCTACTATTATTTGTGGGTTTCACCCCCAAATAATGAAAACTAGTCAACCCCGGAGTGTTTTTTATTAGGGTCCGTCCGAAAATGGTCGTTTTTTGTATTAAGGTTTTTAATTTAATATTAGGGGAAGCTTCGAAATCCAATTTTTGGCAATATTTTAATTGCGTTATAAAAGGAAATTGAATTGATTTTGAAATCGACAAACACATTTTTTTTTTTTAATTAGGAGTTTAAATTTATTACTAGGGTCCGCTTTGGTTCCCTAATAGTAAATACCTCCCTAATAATGAAAAACTACCTGATGTGTCTATTATTTGGGGGGGGCCGCGTTTAGTATTACGCTTCGATCCTGGGTCAACTGCATTCGACCTTTCGGACACCGCACATTGGCACCGTCTCTCGTGGCCTATTTGGATGACACGTCCGATGTGTTTAATGAATTTTAATGACCTAGAAATGTACCTTGAAAGTACCTTGAAATCATTGAAACACCTTGAAATTCACAGAATCATCACAGAATCATTGTGAGGTTAAGCTGAAAATTTGTGGAAAAATCAAACACCTATTTAGAACACTCATTCGTTGCCATTCGGTTGGTCCACAACGAACCCTAAAAGGGGCGTTTAGCTGGAACAGGATAATGAACCACGGGATTTGGGGGAATCATATACCAAAAGTGGTTGGAACACCATATGTTTTCTCCAACAGTTGAGTAATTAATGGCAAGTATATATGCGGGGCAAATACAAGCAGATATATTTTTTTTGGCATGGTGCACACAGAAGCGTTCGGACGCTGCGGCACTTCGCAGATGAATTCAGGTCTTTGCCACTCCTGCATTACTTCACAACGCAATCAGCTCCTATGGTCGTTCCCATGTCAGTGCACGTCATTTGACGGCAGAGCTGCAAAAATTCCGTTGGAAGATTCTGCAGGTCCCCCTGTTCAGACTCAGGGGGGAAAGTTGACAGATGGCGGACGAAGCTCTCGGCTAAAGCTTTGCACAGCGCTGGCGGATATTCTTTCAATATCGCCGTGCGAAATCTACCTTGTTCATCAAGGCCGATCGTGCCCTGCTTCGGAAGCTCTTTGCAAACTGCGTTGGCTCTGATGTCCAGGGGCAACTGTGGCAGGTTGAGCGTTAAAAGCCCAGTCCTCTTTGTGCTGGAAGCGCCTAGAAGTCCTTGGGCGCAAGTCAGGAGCCTGAAACCTGGGAGTCGTAGAATGAGGCCCATCAGCGGTAAGCGCCAAATGCTCGCAGCCTCAGGTTCTTCGGGTTCACCTGGATGTTCCAGTACACCAGTGCCTCCTGTGGTGGAGAGCAGAACCATAGCGTAGATGCTGAAGCCCAGTAGAAGGTGGCCGTCCATGATCTGTCGCATCTCCTTGATGGAGAGTGAGTCCAATCCCCACAAGTGGTGGAGAGTCCGAATGACTCTGGGTCCCTTGCGGCCTGTTGCTTGGAGTCGCTTGTCGTGCTTCC